TCCAGATGGGATTCCAACTTATTTTTTAAAAAAATGCATTTATACTTTGGCTAATCCTCTAAAAATCGTTTTTAACATATCCCTTAAAGCAGGAATCTTTCCAAATTTCTAGAAACATAGTTTTTTGAAACCAATTTATAAATCGGGCCCAAAGGAGAAAATTGAAAACTACCGAGCTGTTTGTATCTAGTCCGATATTCCTAAAGCATTCGATTATCTCATGAGTATAAGTTCTTATCTTGGGAATGTAAAAACATCATCAATAATGAACAGCATGGTTTCTGTCCTGGTCGGTCAACAGTGACTAATCTCTTGCTTTACAACACTTACATAATTAATGCTTTAGAAAATAAGTCACAAGTTGACTCGATCTATACAGACTTCTCAAAAGCCTTTGATCGAGTAAACCACAAACTTCTTATTAACAAACTAAAAAATATTGGAATATCGGGTGTCATGCTGACATTGATTCAAAAATATTTAACAAATCGTTTTCAAAGCGTGAAAATTGCGGGTGTTGTATCTCATGAGATTACAGTTCCTTCAGATGTACCGCAAGGTTCTCATTGTGGACCTATTCAATTTAATCTGTTTATTAACGATATTTGTGATAGATTAAAATTTAGCCAATACCTACTTTTTGCAGATGATTTTAAGTTATTCAAATCTATTAATTCACATTCTGATATAATTGAATTGCAAACAGACCTTGACTCCCTGAATATATGGTGCAATCTAAACCAAATGGATCTAAATATTAAGAAGTGCTTCTGTATATCTTTTAACAAAATTTTGTCACCCATCATACATGACTATCAAATTAACAATCATAGTGTATCAAGAGTTGATACCATTAAAGATTTAGGTGTCATGATGAATAGTAAATTGTCCTTTCAGGCACATATAGATATGATAACAGCAAAGGCATCAAAACTATTAGGTTTCATTTCTAGGTCTGCCACGGATTTTTCTGCTTATACGTTCAAAACGATGTATTGTTCTCTAATAAGATCACAATTAGAATACTGTTCGATTATTTGGAACCCATATTACAATACTTATAAGCATCAAATTGAGACTATTCAGAATAAATTCTTGAGAATATGCGCCTATAAAATGGGTTATATAAGAGGAGATTACTCATATGCTTCAATTAATTCTCAATTTAACTTAAAATCACTTGACTTTAGGAGAACAGTTTCTGATATAATTTTTATAAATAAATTGTTAACAGGGAATATTGATTCTCCCCAAGAAGTAGGTCTTATTAATTTTAATACCTTTAGTAGGACTAGACAATTCGATTTATTTAATATACCACTAATTATGTTTTTAATTCACCAGTAAGTCGAATGTTACGTGAATTTAATAAGTTGAAATGTAAAAATTGTGATATTTTTGGAACTATTAATGCTCTCAGCACTTATTTAAATAATATAGAAGTCTTACATTTTATGTCTTTATTTTCTAACTAATTTTATAATTGTTATTTGATGCCGTTATATTTTATATTTTGTATTGTATTTTATATTACCTATATTAGTATTAGTTTAGTATTTAGTTCAGTATTCATTTTGCTGTTTTTATTCTACTTAATACTGTATTTTTTTTTAAATGGGGTTACCCGTGAATAAATAAATAAATATAGTTTGATTTCTTAATTGCAAAGAACTGGAAAACGTTCCTACCTTTTTTTTTCAATAAATTAATAAACCTATTTAATATCGACTGATGGAACGCGAATAATTTAATACGTAAAGCTTAAATCGTCATTAGTATTCTGACACGTAATACCGACCTGATTCAATATCAAATTCAGGTACAGATTTTCCTAAACCGAAGCTGTTTAAAACTTAAAGGGGTGTAAAGCAACTGACGAACTCTATATAGAAAGCAGACAACCTAAGCCACTTCGGATAAACACCTGCGAAAGCAAATTCAATGCCACCATTCCATCAACATTCTCTAAATTTAAACCGCATTTCCCGCTACATTGCATAGACGATGGAAAGCGCAAAGACGATGAAAAGCCTAACGAGTTACAAGTTACACGAAATTTTGGATCACATCAAGAGATGCTGATTTTTGTATAAAATGTGGTAATATTCAGAAGTATTTTAACTATGTTATACAGGTTATAACAGAAAGATCATAAATTATTCCAAATATTCTAGACTCAAAAATAGGACGGTTAGACCTTAATTACCTATACAGGTAATTGCTCAATATTTCAATTTGTGTTATCTGTAGGAGTTTCAAATACATTACATGAATTTAAAAAGGGCATACTTATAAAATATTTATCAATTTAAAATATATTTTTTAAATTGAGCACTCTGTATTTTATTTCAATTTTGAAATGATCTAGTAATTATGTATTTAACGCTAAAATGTTTTCAGAAATAAAAATAATATTGCCAAAAATTCGGTTTGCTTGTAATATTAGAGAATGGTGCAGACCTTAAAAATAATAATATCATAATTTAGGTAGATTAGCAGTGATTTTAAAATAGTTTAAATTATAGATTTATGAGGTACCAGGCTATCGAAAAGTTCATTTAATACCAAGTGTTTTAAAACCTGTCATAAATAAGAATCGTTTTTAGTTCAATTTATTTATTGTTTTCAATTGCCACACCCTGAATATTATTTTAGTATTGTATTATGAATTTGTCTTTCCAACGATATCAACATGTCAAAATACTTCCAGGGTCAAATTAGAAATCTAATTCACTACTACTTTGAAAACACATGGATTGATGGAATAAAAACTGACATAAAAAACCGCAAATTTTTAATATTTGTATGGAGAATGACAAATGGTCATCATGTCTAAAGAAAACTATCGTAATACCGATCTTTAAAAAGGTGACGATAATAAAGATCTTCCAATATTTATTTTTAATTTTTCCAAGGTATTTGAGAAAGTTTTGGAAACCCGCCTAAACTCATACTTAGCCAAATACAGTTTATTATCCAATAACCGTTATGGAAAATTAACACAAATAAATATTTTCATATAAATTCATAGAAATTCATAGAAATTCATAGAAATTCATAGAAATTCATAGAAATTCATAGAAATTCATAGAAATTCATAGAAATTCATAGAAATTCATAGAAATTCATAGAAATTCATAGAAATTCATAGAAATTCATAGAAATTCATAGAAATTCATAGAAATTCATAGAAATTCATAGAAATTCATAGAAATTCATAGAAATTCATAGAAATTCATAGAAATTCATAGAAATTCATAGAAATTCATAGAAATTCATAGAAATTCATAGAAATTCATAGAAATTCATAGAAATTCATAGAAATTCATAGAAATTCATAGAAATTCATAGAAATTCATAGAAATTCATAGAAATTCATAGAAATTCATAGAAATTCATAGAAATTCATAGAAATTCATAGAAATTCATAGAAATTCATAGAAATTCATAGAAATTCATAGAAATTCATAGAAATTCATAGAAATTCATAGAAATTCATAGAAATTCATAGAAATTCATAGAAATTCATAGAAATTCATAGAAATTCATAGAAATTCATAGAAATTCATAGAAATTCATAGAAATTCATAGAAATTCATAGAAATTCATAGAAATTCATAGAAATTCATAGAAATTCATAGAAATTCATAGAAATTCATAGAAATTCATAGAAATTCATAGAAATTCATAGAAATTCATAGAAATTCATAGAAATTCATAGAAATTCATAGAAATTCATAGAAATTCATAGAAATTCATAGAAATTCATAGAAATTCATAGAAATTCATAGAAATTCATAGAAATTCATAGAAATTCATAGAAATTCATAGAAATTCATAGAAATTCATAGAAATTCATAGAAATTCATAGAAATTCATAGAAATTCATAGAAATTCATAGAAATTCATAGAAATTCATAGAAATTCATAGAAATTCATAGAAATTCATAGAAATTCATAGAAATTACTAGAAATTAATAGAAATTTTTTTTTGTTCATTTTGAACCTCATTAAAAACAATAAACACGTGCTGATTCGATTATTCTAGGTTTCAAACTGTTGTTACCCATATATACATAAATTTTCTTTACTATTCATCCTAAATTTTTGATAGCGGGTTTTCAGAATAACACTCTACACTTCATACATATAAAATTACCGGCATTTCAGGCTAGTTTGGATAGAAACAAATGCGTTATATCACGTCAGTGTCTACTGAAACACTTTATAGTGTTGCGACATATGCCGCTAGTGTCGATATATTTAACCTAACAACGTGTCAAATTGACTTGTCTTTTTCTCATAAAAATGACGCTAACTTAAATAACAAAAAAAAATTACATTTATTTATGCTACATATGTGGCTTATGTAGCGCCGCCTATACAATTGATCGATATTAATTGGAAATTATAATTTTTTATACCCAAATTTTTTATTATAAATTTCCAAAAACGTAAAAGTTATTAGAAAAAATAGACACTCTTTTTATCAATATTATTTTTTTAAAGCAAAGCTCAAATCATAATAATACTTTTTTTTGTACAATTACTGAAGCATGTATTCATAGTCCTAATAATATATTTATGAATTTATTATTAAACGCATTAGGTACACCTAATTTTGTCTGACATGTAACAGATTGCCAACTGTTAAACAATAGTTTTCAAATGAAATTCATACATTTCATTGATGAGTTTGTATTAATTCTTGACATTATCATCAAAATACTGAAATTGAAACTTCAACAGGAAATTGGATTCCTACCTAGACTGGAAATAATTCTAACTGTAAGAATCAAACTCCTAAAAGTCGATTATCGATCAGGGCTTCCCCTCTTATTTTCGAGGTACCCCGTACAAGCTTCATACCTAATAATAAAGTTTTCAAATCCGCTTCGTTCCCCAAAAATTCCCTCTCTTACGATAACCATCGTCCCGAATCAGTTACTGCTGGTTCAAGTTATCCTGTGCCGTTTCTTTTAATTGTTCGTTTGTTTCAGGAGCGGCCGAAAAAAGTTCAAAACATGGGGCGGAAGACAAGGCGAACAGTATCATTACGGCGATGAAAGACCGGATGAAACAGCGAGAACGAGAAAAACCGGAGATCTTCGAACTCATCCGGTAAGTGAAAAAACTTTGCAGTTAAACGTTCCTGTCTTAATTTCGAATTTTTACCGTTATCTAAAGAGAGTTATTAAGATTGTAATTATTAGACTTACCTAAGGAAAATGGTGATGAAATATTTCGGAAATATTTTGACGAAACGTGATTTATTTACAATTGATTTGAGGAATTTTGGCTTTTTTTATACAGCGTGGCCCAAAAGTCTGGAAATGGCCAATCATATCGTAAATTGCTAGTCCTAATTGTACAAAATTTGGGGTACACCTATTTTGGCATACAGTGATTCCAGATTTGATATTTGCAATGTTGCCAGATTTGCCGTTTTTCTTAAATTATTAGTCACTTTGGTTTTTCAAATTCATCACCCTGTATATTCAATTATTGGAATTTTCTATTCAATACAAGGTCATCATATGTAACACTTGATTTTGATGATTTTATGTAGTCTGGGAAGGTCTTGAATAAATAAGATAAGTCTGGCAACGCCTAAGTTTCTCAATAAATTTTTTAATACAAACTATTTTCAACTACATTAAAACGTAACAATTGAATAATTATAACATTTTTAACATAATGGTTACTTTATCAAGTGTTCAAAATGTGCTCCATTTGTGAGTTGGCAGTACCCTAATCGATGATAGAATGCGTCTACCACATTTCTTCATGATTGTTTTATTTATTTAAGACTTTTCAGATTACATAAAATAATAAGTGTTACATATGGTTGAACTCGTATTGAATAGGAGATTCCAACAATGACTGAATATACAGGGTGATGGATTTGAAAAACCAAAGTGACTAATAATTAAAGAGAAACGGCAAATCTGGCAACATTGCAAATATCGTATCTAGAAACTCCATATCCCAAAATAGGTGTATCCCAAATTATGTACAATTAGGATTAGCAATTTACGAGATAATTGGCCGTTTCCAGACTTTTGGGCCACTCCGTATATATTTTAGTATATATACTATGATAATTACTTGTTTCATACAAAAACATACACTGAGTTAAACAAGGTAAAATATGAACATGCATATATTAGGCAAAGACCGCTGTCGCTCATTGAGAATAAATGTGTCTCGCCGACAGCAATCTTTCTCTCTCTTATGTTCCTATTAAACTTTGTTAGTAACCTAAGATCTGGCAACAAAATCATGGTATATCTATAAAATAGTTCAACTCTCTAAACAAAAACAGCTAAAATTAATCCGGGTACAAGTAAAAATCCATTGAGGTCGCTAGTGTATTTAGAGAACACCGGCATAGATCTTATCAATTTGAATTGGTATCTCAGTTACGGAAATACTATTACAATTAAATAAAAATTTGTTATTTTTTTAACATTAATTATATACTTCAAATTATTATAATTAAATATACATATATAATATTTGGAGTACATTCAGTTAAAATTATTTGTAAATTTGGAAAAAGTGTAAGATGGGAACATTTTATGGGATCTGTAGTAATACAGTGTAAAATAATAAAAACCAAAAATATGATATGTGTTTAAGAAAATAAGAAAAGAGACAAAGCAATTCTCCTTTTATAAGAAGAAAAGTGTTAATCTTGAAAAATTAACTTAAACTTAAATGTAGGATAATGAATTTAATCTAAGATGATTCACAATTATGAGAATTATACGAGTCCCCTTATTAAGTGTATGCCTCATGTGACCAGTTGTTACACCCATATTTCGCCAGGTTTACTTAAAATCAATGCAGATAAGACAATAATCTTGTTTTGGTTTTTAAATTTGTGGCTTTAAGGAAGCTCCTAGGCTTCTGTTTACTTCATCTTAATCTTCTTGTCTTCGTTTTTAAATTTGTTGCGGGTTTTAGGAAGCTTTCTAAGTTTCGGTTGTTTTTTACAATTTCAGGAATCATTCTGCTACCCCTGAGGAATTCCGGCAGGCTCCCTTTAATCCAGCTTGGGTCTTCCGTCCTCTGGAGATCTTCTAGCTGCACTTTTGCCTCATAGACTTATTGTACCACCATTTAAGTGCCCTATTCCTTCCTATTCATTTAACTCGTACAGTGTAGATAAGCCAACGATACACAGACTAATGGTATGTTCCTGTGCATGCATCTGACTGACGGTGACGTCACGTGGAACATAGAATTATAAGCATTAAATGGGAGATAGTGTTTGAAATTCGATATTTCGCCGGTTTTAGATTTTATTCAGTTACTTAAGCTTTATTGGTTATTTTGTAATATATTAGTTTACAAATATGAAGGTATAAGGTAAATAATACCAATAAAAATATTTATTTTTCTCATAAATTATAGGTATTTTGTGACAAAATCCATAACCTGGCCATAAGATAAGTAAAAAATATAGACTAAAAGTACAAGTTGGACTTAAATTTGTATTTTCTGGGCACGGTAGTTCCCTTGCAATCTCTTTTCTTATTATGTGAAATAAAAATAAGTATGCAAAAACAAATTATTTATTTATAAAAGTACACAAAAAAATTACTTTTTATTTGGTAAATTTAAACATTTTTTTGTCAAGTTTACTTTGAAAATACTTAAAACCAATTTTTCTGTTCATTTATTTAATGCTTATATATATTCGTGCCCTACTCATGCATGGCATTACTTCAAAAGGACCGTTGTATTGGTACCCGAAAACTACTGTTTTATCTGCTAAAATTTTAAAATGGAATTCAATTTCCTTTTCTTGCGTCTATGTTTAAGAGGAATCTCACAACTACTTTCCTCAAAGTGGATAGGGCAACTTCAATTAAGTTTGTCCTTTCTTCGATAAGAATTTACCCATATTTTGTGGCATTCGGAAATATCTCCACCGCGCAGGCCGACATTTTAAACATTGATTTAGTTCTTCCCTGTTATATATAGAAAAATAAAGTCACTACTAATACAAATACAAATAAATTATTGAACTATTTTACACTATTCAATCAAAAAGTGTCAAAATAACTTGAAAGTTCGTCCCGCATTACGTCATTGCGCGGTTTGGACGCGTTTTTGACGCGTTTTGGACGCGGTTTGGACGAATTTTGAAGTCAGCATATCGTTAGTACGTGTATCGTGGATGAGCCTCGAGCTGTATAAGTTCGATCCCCCATCAAAACCGTGTTTGGTGCAAACTGCTTGGCTGCAATCGTTGTTTTGAATATGTTTCACGTCAGCCAGAAACTCGATGGGTTTCGGTTTAAAGCCAGACAAATTTTTCCTTCGCATGTTTTTTTATGCTTTTCTTCATACTCTGTTTTTATTTTTTTTCCTTTTCGTAGTAGGTATATATATAGCCAAATTTGTTTCCTTTCTTCTCTTTCTTTCTTTCTTTCCTAGGCGAAGCTTTCGAAAAATATCTGACGGTCTGAATACTTTATTTGTTTTTAATAAATGCCCCAAGTAAAGAAGTATTTACGATGATTACAATCTGAGCATTAAGATCAATTAGCAATATTATTCTAACCTAACTTATCTAGGAATGAAAAACTTCATAAACTAAGATTCTACTCACTAGTGTACCTTAGAGTCTAATTATTTAGTTACACTGTCGGTAATGTAAAACACTAAACTACACTATACTCTGCTTTTTTCTGACATAACTGAACTAACTGAAAAGGCTTGGTTCTCTTGAGTATTCTTATTAGATTGGCATTGTTGAGGAGCTGGATAACCTCAACATTCCCATGTTTGTGACTACTGGCAAATTTTTTCATTCTATTTCAAATAGCCTCCACTTTAACTTAAAGATCAGTATTTAGGCAGTATCAGGGTGTACCGACGATGTTCCTTAATACTTTATTCTGGAAACGTTGAATAACTTGGATGTTACTTTTACTGGCGCAGCCCTTAAGCTAGATACGTCCATACCTCTGCCTGTAGTGTAGCAGTTTGTTATATGTAGATAATTTGAATTTTTTTTAGCAACTCTGCGTTTTTTTTTTAATATGCACTTTCCAGCTAAATGTCATACCCAAATATTTTACTGTATTGGCAAAAGGAGTATCGTTTATTCTAATAGGAATATATTTATTTTGTTTATTGCTGAAGATGATATGTACAGATTTGCCTTTATTCAGTTTTATTCGCTATATTTTCGTCCATGTTTTAATTTGCTCTTTAAATTTTTGCAATTTTTATTAACGTCTTCGTGATTTTTCCAACAGCAAGGATTGTAGTATAATCAGCAAATGTTGCGATAGTATTGGGCCCAAGATTATGAATATCTCTGGTATACAACAAACATTGAACCTGGTGTACTACCTTAATTTCTCTTAGGTAGATATAGGCTTGTTCCTGTTTAATTCTGAAATACCTTTCTGATAAATAGGATTTTATTAGTTCAGAATATGGCAGGAACATGTTTAGTTTTTAAACCAGGTCTTCATGTCATACTTTGTTGAAAGCCTGAGCCATATCTAGAAAGATGGCGGGGCAAATTTTTCTTCTTCTATGATATCTGTGATTCTATGAACTCGGTCGATGATAAGGTGTTTTTCTCTGAAGCCAAACTGATGAGAGAGTATTAGGTTCTTTATTCTGTTAAAGGTTTAAATCTTAAGAAGCAATTTTTCATAGAGTTTCGAGATAACAGGTAATAAGAAGATATATTTGTACGATGTAACTTCATGGGAAAGTTTATCTGGGATTCAGACATTATTAAAACTTCTGCCACCTTCCACATCTTCGGTACTTACTTTAGTCTAAAGAAAGCATTGATAAAATTGGTCGTTTTGACAATAGCTTTCAGTTGAACCATTTTCAATATTATCTAGGTCTAATCCAGGGGCCTTTTTTCAGATTTATATTTGTTTGGATTTCCATATAAACTTCTTTTAAAGAGGTAGGTTTAACGACTCTTTCTTCTTGTGCTAGTTCCATCCAGTCTTGAATCTCTTTACTATTATTGGGTTAGAAGGTACTCTCTAACTGTTCCGAAAAACTGTTGGCTTTTTGCAAATTGTTTCGAACCCAGCTTTCATCTTTATTTCTGATTGGTGCGTTATGTATAG